GTGTATTGGGCACCTTGGACGTTTGACCCTGCGCAAAGGGTGTATGATGCGATCAACTGGACATCGGACCCCAATGGATTATGATTTTCACTCACCGTCCCGCTGCCTTGCGGGTCAGGCTTTGGCTATCCAAAGGCTCCCATTGTGGATTCCTCAAGAGAATTCACCTACCTTGGCCTGGGCAACCTGGAATTAGTATTCCGCCCACATGCAAATCATGGAACGTCTTTCTTTTTCATCCAGATTACTGTACCGTGATTTGTTTGCGACACAGTCTGGATTCATACGTAAGTGAAAATATAAAATATATATTATATGTTTTGCACTTCCATTTACAATGTGGCCAGCGGAGTTGTGTTGTTAGTCAAAAGTACAGAAAACAAGCTTGTTAGTTATTTTGTTTTCGCATGCAATCAACGGATGTATTTGCTCAATTCTTTGATAGCATTCGTTCGATACAATCTCCACATCATTCCTCTATGTATTTCACATGATCAGATCGCCCGTTGGCAACAAGTTACGCAGCCTTAGTCTGCAAGAGCAGGGTTGTACGCTATCGAGCGCATCCCCAGGTCGCGGATAGGGGACTAGTCACCAACGCGCGATTAATCGTGAATAAGGCAGGTTTATGCTCACTGAATAAGCCTTCGCGGACAATAAGTGGCAGTGCTCGATGTGGTGGATTTACCACATGGCAAGGGTTCTCTGTACAAAACACAACACGTATTTCATGACAGCGCTGTGACGTGGCGAGAGTGACCCATCGCAGAATATGGTCATTGAACCCATGTCGAGGTCAAATAAGTAGACAAGGTTCCCATGAAGAGGCGAATGATCACACCGACCGGTTGGCGGCTCATCTGGAACAATAGTCCTGCTTTGTAGTTGGCGTTTGGTTGCGCAAAGGCTAGAGTGCACCCTCGAAGAAGGCCTACCCTGGACTGGGTGAGCGAGTAGTACAACAGCACACACGGCGGACATAAATGAACTAAGAACTTTATCTTATCAACCAATTTGCATTCACAGCTTTCTACACTCAAAGAAAACCATGTCACCCGACTGTCTTTTAAGGGTGTTTTGTGTGTAGCTGCAGTTCGTAGTGTTTTGTTTTACGGCTGAGAGACTTGGTAGTCGACTGTCTGTGTTCGACCACCGGTGTATCCGAAGCATTGCCCATGTCTGGTCGGAACATCGTATGAGCACTGATCGAGTTTGTCGTAAGGCGCTGGGTACCGATAGTTGATCTCTAACAGAACTCATCGCTCTACATCACGTCTCATGACTCGGTTGTGTTCTGCGTATACTTGCTCATCGTCTACCTCTCTGTGCTCCCTTTTTACATGCTGAGCGGGGCTGGCAGAAGCGCCACGGCGGTCAGACCATGACATGGCGTAGAGGTATGAAGAAGTTAGCCTTAGCATTGGCTCCATTTGGTACAGATCGCCTTTCAGGCTGGGTTAGAGACGCTGAGAGATATGGCTCACCATAGAAGTCAGTGGCGTGATTAATGTGCGGTTTATTTGTTTGTCGAAATCCCGTCCATATGAATGCTATAGCGTTGGCATCATGATTTTTTTTAAGCCAGTGTGAAAAATATGCACTAACCAAACACGATTCTGTATCATGCAATAACCTAATGACTAGCCAAAATATGTGCATAGGGAAATGCCAGCTGCGGTATAGAAAAAAGAAACTGCTTCGCGTTTCTCAGTATTTANGTATTTATTTCCAGTCACGTTCATATTTGTCAACAGAGAGTATTGATCACTGACTCGGATCAAGTGTTGCCCACCTGGAATGACGTCTGAATACCTGCGGGTGAACTTTTGATACTGTGACCATTTCTGCAAATAGCTGGCATAACTGGTACGTTTGAAGACACGGATGCAGAAACACGATTATTCAGTTTGGACGGTGTTCGTGTGTGTGTGTGTCTGCGTATGCGTTAAAGGTTAGACTCACTCATTCGAAGCGCCGCACGGAGAAGCAGATGACGAACATGAAGAGGACCAATCCTCGACAGGCAGACCGTACCACAGTTCAAAAATGCGTTCTTGTGCCTCTTTCATTTCCCATACGGGGTTGGGAACAATAGGCGGGGGAAACGGTGGACGAGGATCCGATTTATTGACCAGTTCCGTTGGAGCGTCTGATTCCCAGTCCATAGCGACTTCTTGTGCATTGCCTGCCTCCGTCTGAGGAGATTCGTGAGGTGAGGAGCACGGATACTCGTGAAATGATCCACCAAGGGTGGCCAGATCTGAAAGTGAGACCGGATGGGAAGTAAGCAGATGAGTAACCCGAAATATTGTCCAGATTATCGAAGTAACAACATACGGTGATCACTTGGTGTGAGTCGCTGCCATGGGGAATATATATATATATATTCCCTTGTTCATACCTAAATCTGTAACGAAATACGTTCAGTTGAACAACAGTGCTTTGTTGGTAGTTGGAAGTCCGGAGCAACTCACAAGTTATCGCTGAATACGCATAACAATAATGAGTTAGTTTGCTTTCTGACTGTGCGCTTCAGGTTCCATTCATAGTCGAGGGTCATCGGCTATTGCATTGTTTTGTTTTGTATTTCACAGGTATCTGAATCCAGACTACGTGCTAAACAAATCATTGTACAATAATCCATACCGAAAAATGTTTCATAATTTGTATGTGGGTGGAATACTGAAAGGTTACCCAGGTGATTGTTGTTTTTT